ACCATTTTGGGCCAAATTAAAGCAAGCTTTATTAAAATGTTTTATATTGACCAAGATGGAATTTGGGGAGGACCACTCCTGGGAGACATGAAGCTGAGTGGACCGTAGACAGCACGTCATCAGGGCTTATAAAGACAAAACCTGTAGACCACTGTACTTTCCCATGAGGCTTTGTTAGTTTCAAGAACTACAACTCCCAGCATTCCAGGAAATTACCTGATCCTTGGGCAGGTGGGGCTTACAGGTTAACTTAGGGTATAACACAAGGACTCTTCCTGTAGGGAGGAGTGGACAGAGCCATTCCGGAGATCTAGATAGTTGGCTGTTTGGCCTCTGCTGTGCTCTTCCCCTAGCCCCTGCCCCTGTGTGCCCCTGCCTTGTTCAGATGGAGTGTTTGTGTTGACCTGGCTCTGGATCTGTCATGCTGATCCTCTCAGCAGACATCTCTCTCTTCCTTCCTCTTCTGCTCTCGAACAGTCATCTTACTTTCTGATGCCATGTGAAGGAGGGTTTGTGGTTCACCTTCATTTGAATATGTTGTGAGTATATCAGGGTTCCCTCCCATACCATAGGTCCATAGGTGTCCAAGCACTTGACTCTCCCATGTGGACAGTTAGGTTTTCCCACTTCATATGGCACTTCAAGAACCACAACCATGGCTCAGGTAGAAAGTGCAGCTGAGTCAAGGTGAGGCCCAGAGGACTCCAGGGACTCAAAACCCACAGCTCCAGGTCCTTTCCTGTGCCTATGGCTTGACTTGAAAAACTGGGATGGCACATATATGTGTGCTCTGCATCCATTTTCTGTTGATGTCCTAACAAACACGAGCTCATCTATCTCTGACGATAAGGCTAATGATAGACCACACCCCGCAGGATTCTAAGAGAGCCTCGCTAGGATCAGTACACATGAAATGCTGGGGCAGTGTCTGGCCCTAGGTAGCATGAGCGTGTAGTGGATAGAGGTGTGTTTGGTGCTGTGCACGAGTATTTTACAAGCCGTTCTCTTAGGAGTGATTCCTCCATCTATTTCTTCCTGACTGTATGGCTTTGATGAACCACGTAACCTTTTTTCACTCAGTATCAGTACAATGAAGATAGTAGAATCTTCCATGAGTGTCCACCATGCATGCACATACTCAGAACAAAGGCTCATCGATGGCAGTAGATACATAAACATGGTTTGTCATTGTAGTTGATGCTATCATTTCTTCTTGTACTCATTGGACCACTATGTGACCCTTGGTGTCCAAAGGGGGGCAGTCTCCTGCCTTGCAGAGTTGTAACAGCAGAATTAAGACCACTGACTTATGCAGAGAGAGGGACTCTGTAAGGTATGATAGGTTTGTAGATATCTGCTACCCGGAATCCTGTGAGGTTGGAGGCAGAGTGATCCTCATTCTGGGTGAGTGTGAAAAGCGCTACTATGACCTGCAGTGTCACTTAGCAACCAAATGACTCTTTGAGACCTGAAAGGTGAAGGCTAGTCAATGCAGAAAATCACAACATGCTCAAGGTACCCAGAGCAGAGCAGTCAGTTATCAAAGTGATTTGATTTCTCCCTCTCACAGTCAGTGGGAGAGGTATTCATTAATGGCCATCCTGTACAATCATTGTGATGTTGAGATTCGGGTGGTCGGGGAGGCAGCTGTGTCTATTGGAAAGTCTTCCACTTTATTTTTGTTTTGAGATGTAGAAGAGAAAGCTCAGGTTTTTTGAGAACTTTAAGCGTAACTGCCTTTGGAAAGTGGGCCTGGGTTTCCTGTGCACTTAAACAACTTTAAAAGTGTGTGCTCTTTGAAGTTAGATTCTCTCTGATGACTCATGTTGGAGCAACCTCAGCTCTCATCACAGAGTGAGGTAGGGTGTGGGCTTGTAAACCTTTCCAGAAGCGAGCTGCCTTTCTACATGTGCCCTGTAACCAATGGTCCACTCATGACCCAGGACTCGGCAAGCACAAGATGAGCCAAAGTGACCTGTAACCAAGCGTCCACCTGTGACCCACGACTCAGCAAGCATGAGATGAGCCAAAGCAGCGAATTACTGGAAGACTCTTGCAACCAGGGTCTGACCATCTTGGTTCCTTCCCAGGAATAATTGCCTATGGAAATTGTTCCTTTTATCTGCAGAGCTATTAAAACACTGGTTAGCAAGGTGGTGCAATGCACTGTTAATGGGTTGTAGTGCTGTGGGCACTGTTGTTTCGTTCGACAGATGAGAAGTGGCTGGAAATGACCTTCTGTCTCCTGTAAGACCTGTGCTTGTTAAGTGACATTCCCCAGTGCAGCGGAGTCTGAGGTAATGTAGGCATTTGTGCTATATTTAGCACAGTATTAAATGAGTTTTCAGGCTTTTCTTGCTATAAATAGAGGGATAGGTGTATTTTATAGTCCTCATCTTAAGAGCCACTTTCTGACCTAGGCAGTGGCTGGTCAGGTGGAGATGCACAAGGCCAGTGCTTGCCAGAAATCCAGAGCTGAGTATAGTCAAGTCCACCCCAGTGTCAGGCTCATGGGGTGTTGCCTGCCTTGGGGTCCTGTCTCCTTGGGCCATGTGGCTTCCATTCTGTCCAGTGGTGTGAGGTTAACTAAGGCCTTGTGTGTACTCACTATAGCCCAATATCTTCTCTCTGATTATCTTCCCATCTGGCAGGGAACATTGCACTCAATTTACTAGTGAAACACAGGGCCTGTGTGTACACTTAGCAGACTCAGACTTAGAACACTCAAAGCTGCCTGAAGAGCCTGAGAAAACACCACCGTGAGCCTTGATCCAGAGACCCAGTAGCTCTGGAGGGGAGCAAAAATCTGCATTCCTCCCATAGACTGAGGCGATATGGAATTGCTGGTCCATAGAACACATGCAAACTAACCTCTTAGAGACAGCCTTTCGGTCATTGATCTATAGCATTTATTAAGCAACTACTGGATGCAGAGGAAGAAGCCCTTGAAATGACTTGACTGTAATTTCTGCACACCAGAGAGTGTATGTGAAGAAAAGTACAGACCAGCATACTGCTAGAAGGCAACTTAGAAGAGAACTGGGTTCATCTCATCTCACCCAGGCTATATCACTGTAGGGAAGTCAAGGCAGGAATTTCAAACAGCCAGCCATATCATATCCACAGTCAAGAGTGAAGAGGAATGAATTCATGCAAACTTGCTCACTGGCTTGTGCTCATATTAATTTCTCTGTTCTTCTACAGTTCAGGATCCCCTGCCTAGGGAATGGTGCTGCCATCAGTGGACTGGGTCTTCGCACATCAGTTAATTTAATTAAGATAGCCCCTATAGACATACTCATAGTAACCTAACTCTCCCATGGAGACTTCTTTCCAAGTGACTCTAGGTTGTGTCAAGGTGACAGTTAAAAATCACCATCATGGATGGTGACAGGAAAGACAGGTACTAATAGAGCTCAATAAAAGAGTGGAGGGTACAGTATGGAGACACTGTCTGAGAACCCTCTTGTATGGTAGGAATGTAAAAAGTTCAGCTACTTTAAAGATTATTATTATATTGTTATTATATTATTGTGTTATTATTATTGTTATTATTATTCTGAGACAAGATCTCACTATGTAGCCCTGACTGGCCTGGAACTTGCTATGTAGACCAGATTGTCTTCGAACTCATTAAGATCCACCTGCCTCTGCCTCCCAAGTGCTGGGATTAAAGGTGTGCACAACCACCCCTGGATATTTTTATTCTTTTAGTTATGCATATACATGTGTGTCTGTGTGTGGGTGTGTGCACATGTGCAGGTGCCCGTGGAGACCAGAAGAGGGCATCAGGTGCCCTGGAGCTGTAGTTACAGGATATTGTGAGACATCCTACAGAGATGCTGGGAATGGAACTCTGACCCTCTTTGTTGTTGATCCATCTCTCTAGAGCCAGGAGGGGCCTGGAGAACAGCTGGGAGTTTGTCGGTATATTAAACGTAGTCACATATGACAGCAGTGCTAGTCCGGGCACAAACCTGAAAGGAGAGAATTCATGTTATTCAAGTACTTACCCACAGATGTTCATAGACATTCATAAGCCTAACAGCCAAAATGTAAAAAAGAAAAGATAAAAATGGAAATGCCCATGAACTGATGGGCGGCAAATGAAATGTGGACTTTTCTCACGATTGAGTGCTATTTAGCAACAAAAAGGAAGGAAATGTCAATGCTTGTTATAGTGTGAGGGAAGCTGTTACAGAAGACGTATATTCATATGAAGTGCCTAGAATGCATGAGTTTGTAGGGACAGGGAGTGGTTGTGGTGGGGGAGACTGGGAGAGAATGGAGAGGGACTGACCATGGATAGGAGATTTTTTTTTTTTTTGCAAAAATGAAAATGTTATAAACCTGATGGCTGCACAACTCTAAAAATATGTTTTTGAAATAGTGAGTTTTATACTTTTAATGGATATAGTGTGTGTGTGTCACAGTTTCTATCAATGAGATAAAAACACCATGACAAAAAGAGACTTGGGGACAACAGGCTTATTTCAGCTTGTGGTTGTCTTTTGTGGCCCTCGGCAGACTCACTATGGTTTAGTTATTTGTGGTGGGTACCAGGGTCTGCTGCTCCTACCATGTAGTTCTATAAGGACCAGGGTTGTGTCTCACCATTCAGTGCCCTAGGTAGCATGGTGCTTGGCACACAACAGAGCTTGGTAGGTTGTTGCTCATAGTTTGGATTTGGACTGGTGTGGGGACTAGGCACACACTTGGCTGATGGCGCAAATTTTTTGTGATAAGTGAATTGGATTCTCTCTTACGTGTGTCTGAGGCACCAGTCACACCAGGTCTCATCTACATGGGCCCTGCCTAATGCTCCATTGGTCTTGGTTGCCTGCTGTTAGAAACTCTTTGGCTTGAGATGTGAGGTTCTCCTGAGGTCAGGACAGTCTTCCAAAGCACAGCTCTGACTACAGGCCTTCTCTGAGGGAGTCACGCGCTCTGGAGTTTGGCTCATGGACCACTCACACATAGTTTCTTCTATTTGTCTCCAGCTCTTCTGTATGCCACCATCTTTGGGAATGTGACAACCATTTTCCAGCAGATGTACGCCAACACCAACAGGTATCATGAGATGCTCAACAGTGTGCGGGATTTCCTGAAGCTCTACCAGGTGCCCAAAGGGCTGAGTGAGCGGGTCATGGACTACATTGTGTCCACCTGGTCCATGTCTCGAGGCATCGACACAGAAAAGGTAAGGAGTGGGAGACTCTTAGCCACACCACCTGTCCCCAGCTTTCCCCAGTGGGCTGGGCTCAGAACTCGCCTGGGGTATCTGGGGTTCTTAGGTCCTTCTTCCAGGACTTTTAATCTCTCTGTTGTCTTTACTGAAGGACCAGAAAGGAAGAGCCATCATTTTGGAAATCAAACACACAGTGTGTTTCCTGGAGTGAGGGGAACAGATGTCCTGCTGTCTAGGGCAGCTTCCCAAAGTTAGATCATGATAAAATGAAGAGCCTGGGCAGGGGGCTTTTTTCTTTTGCCCCAGCTTCCCAGATGGCCCCATGCTTGGCAATCTTGGCTTTTTTCAAAATGCTGACTTTTTGTTGTTGTTGTTGTTGTTGCTTGGCATGGCTTTTTAAAAATGAACTTTGATTTTCTTAGAGAACTGCTGCATTAAATATGATGTCTCTTGGTTATTTTTGATCTTCCTCTTAATTGGCAATGTCCCAAGGCCACTCTGTCGCCTCTCTTCCTCTTGTCAGTCCTGATAAGAATCCCATGGTGTTGTCATTAAAACTAGACTCTGGCCACTGCCCACGGGCACCGGGGTGGTGGACAGGGTCAGTAATTACCTGGTAAGACTGTCCCTCGGACAAACCCAGGCAGTGCTGGCACAGGTCTGCGCTGTAGTCTTCGGCTGGCGACTGTTTCCTGCTGGGCAGTCCAGAGAGGGGCGACCCTCTTCTGTACGACACTTGCCTTATTCCAGATGCACGTCAGTCAGGGGCAGAGATGGGTGTGGTCTCCAGAGACACAGAGGGCTAATGCATGCATTATCTTTGTGTGCCCCACTCCCTTTGAGACAGATCATGTAGCCCAGGCTAGCCTGGAACTCACTATGTAGCTGAGGATGAACTTGAACTTTTCCTGTGCCTACCTCCGGTGTGCTGGAATAACGAACAGTGTGTGCCACCATGCCCACTTTCCTAAGGCCTTGCTCGTGCTAGACCAGCCCCGAGCCGAGCCGCAACCCAGCCCTGAGCCGCAACCCAGCCCTGAGCCGCAACCCAGCCCCTGCTCTGTATGTTGCCCTGACCAAAGCCTTAGCCTCAACTCAGTTTCTCCATTCCTCAGTCTTTCTGATTCCACTTCCCTCATCGCCAAACCCTATCTATCCACTGCAGAATTGGGAAAGTGGTAGCACTACAGCAGAAGCAGTTGTGGACACATTGAAATCCAGATTGATCTGGCTGTGAGGTCAGCCTGTCATATTCCTATTCTCCTCTATCTGAACAGACAGTGGAGTGCTGGTGGTTTCTGAGGACTGCTCAGGTCCTCTGACTCTCCACTTTAAGAGGCTCATTGCTCTGGGCCTGTCTGCTGGGTGTCATGATAAAAACTACCACAGCACCAACTGCCGTTTCTTGAACATGCACCGAGAACACATGTTTAACCAGGTGTGGTGGTACATACCTGTAATCTCAGACTTGGGAGGTGAAGGCAGGTCAACTGAGTCTGAGGCCAGTCTGGGCTACATGCAAACATTTGTTGGGGAAAACCAGAAAGAACCAGTGTCAGTTTGCATGACTGTTACCCATAGTGCCTTGTGTGGGCTTCACTTCCCTCTTGGGAAGGTGTGGCTGGAAGCTCTGTTGAATGATGAGGAGGACCAGAGGCTCAGTTCATTCCTTTTACTTCCCCTGGTCTAGGGTAACCAGGATTTGAACCCAGTTTTCATCTGGTTTCAAAGCTTGTCCTTTTTCTACTATTATCCCTCCTTTAATTATTTTAAATATATTTTTCTGTGTCCATGTGCATGCGTGCATGTTTGCGTGCACGTGTGGATATGTGCACTGTGTCATGGTGTGTCCTGTGTGTTTGTTGTTTCCTATCATCTTTCAGGCTCTGCCTCTTCTAGGTATAAAGCGGGCCCTAGAGGGGAAGAAGGCTGCGGTTCAGACTGGGACGGGCAGGGCGCGGGGTTGGCTCTGCTTGACTCCTGGCTCTGCCCGCTCCCCGCCCAGCTGTGCCTGTTGTCTCTGCTCACCACTGGCAACAATGCCTGCTGGTTTTGTGGGTGCCTGGCAGCCGATGGAGCAGAAAGGACTTTGATCTCTGCCCTGAAGCTTCTCTTTTCCCAGGCATTAGAATGACTATGTAGATCCTGCTGTCTGGGAAAAGCCCTTCCCTGTCCCTGTGCCTGCAGGGCTGGGCAGGACCGCCTGGGACACTGCACAGTCAGCATCACATTCCTGCCCTGCTCACCTGTTCACCTCCCGGAGGGTTTCGGGACCAACCCCACTTCCTGGTCACAACTGTGGCATCTCATGGCAGAGCCCAGCCTGGAAAATGAGGTCGCAGCTGCTGGGGCGGGAACCAACTCTGGAGTCCCGCTTCCCTCCTCCCTCCAGTGACCTTGAGCACATCACATGTCTCTCTTGCCCCAGTTCCCATGTCTGGAACACACTGAAGTAAGATGACCTTTAGACCACATGGCCTCTATGGCCTTTGGGCTAGCTTTGACCTCCTGCACCATGCAAGCTCTGTAATGGCATTGAATAAGGACCCACAAATACCCAGGTACCAGATATTTTAACACAATGGCATGGGAGAGCTCACAAAATCCCACACACAAGGAAGTGTGGCGATATATTGTGTACCCTAATAAAATTTGCCTGAAGATCAGAGAAGCAGAGCAAGCCACAGCCAACACCTCTTACCTCGCCAACTCCTCAGCCTGAAAGAGCCTCAGTTCCTGTCTCCTCACGCCTTATATACCTTTCTCTGTCCAGACATCACTTCCTGGGATTAAAGGTGTGTGATTCCCAAGTACTGGGGTTAAAGGTGTGTGCCACCACTGCCTGGCCTCTATGTTTAATCTAGTGGCTTGTTCTGTTCTCTGATCTTCAGGTAAATTTTATTAGGGTACATAATATGTCACTACAAGGAAGACTTGGCCCCAGAAACTAAACATTGTTCAAGTTCGCATGTGCAGTGTATGTTGGGAGCAGGACTGAATCCAGAGCCTTAACCTTGACCCTTCGATGCCCACCCCAGGAGAGGCTTCTCCACAGTCATAACTCTTTTTTTTTTTTAAAGATTTATTTATTTATTATGTATACAGTGTTCTGCCTACATACATGCTTGCAGGCCAGAAGAGGGCACCAGATCTCATTACAGATGGTTGTGAGCCACCATGTGGTTGCTGGGAATTGAACTCAGGACCTCTGGAAGAACAGCCAGTGCTCTTAACCCCTGAGCCATCTCTCCAGCCCCACAGTCATAACTCTTAAGAGTGACATCTCAAAGCCTGGCAGCTGAGAGGGGAGCCCTGGAAGGCTGTGGGTTGAAGGGCTGAGCCCCTCCCTCAGAGAGAGGATGTGTCTGTCTACTCAAGTGTAGAACTTGCAGACAGAAACAGCTATGGAGATGCTGCACAGCCAGAGTCTGCCCTCCTCCTCTTCAGACAGCCCCCCCCCCCCCCCCCCCCGCCTCGTCTTCTCCATGATTCTGGAATCGGTGTCCTGAAAATGATGTTACCTGGTCAGACCCTTATGTGGGAGCCTAACTCAGGGAAGCAAATATTTAAATGTGAACGCACCTGGAGAACTAACCTTGGTTCTGCTATTGGGCACTGCTTGGACATGATATGGGCATCCCCACCGGCTTGCGAGCCACACAGAGAAAACCCTCAGATCAGCACTTTTGCAGCAGTCTTGTTTGTCATGATCCCTCCGCCATGGCTTTGTACCTCCACCTCTCCTCCCTCCATTCTCCCAGAGAGACACTCACGCTTTGGTCATCCTGCAGCCCAGAACAGGAATGCAGAGATATCCAGAGACAGGGATGTATCTCAGATGGGTGCAACTTCCCTTAGTATTGGAGTCAGTGTTTAAAGCACAGAGTGGTTAAGTTACTACTAACTAACTGGGATTTCAGTCATGTGACCTCTTCTCACTGCTCCACCTCCATGTAGACACTGAAGGGAGGGAGTGAAGCCATCCAGGGCAAGAGCTGATCTGGAGAGGCTGGTGAAGAAGCCCCAGATACAGAGGCAAGTGTCTGGTGCTAAGATAGGAACAGGGTCTGGAAAGTCCCCCAGCACCATAAGAAGTAGCCACTGAATGATCACGTTTGATTCCATGCCCCCTACTTGGTTCACAGACTAGAATATTTTAAAAGTACTGCTGATCTCTCTGGAAAAGACCACTGGAAGGTGTCCTGTTGGGTTCCTTAAGGCTTGCTGTAGAAAGCCTTGCAGTGGTTTCTTGCAAACACTTAGTCCACAGAAATATCTCTTGCTCTGAAAAGCTGGGCAATTTTTCAGTTGTTTAGGAAAAAAAATGAGATCTACATGGCTTGCTGTTCCTAGTTTGTTTTTTTAGATGGTGCAAGTCAGGGCTGGGGACATGCCCAGCTGGTAGAGTGGTTGCCTGGCATGTGCAAAGCTCAGGGTTTCCTCCTCAGTAACATGGGTGAGGGTGGGGATGCTGCAAGTCAAACTGCAACCCATTAGCTTTGCAGAACTGCCTGGCATGGGAGTTGGTTAGGCTGTAACTAGGCTCTGATGCCAAGCCACCTAATGTGAAAGCCAAGATTTGCTGTTTGCTGGCTGGGAAACTTTGGGCTTCCCTGTGTTTCAGCTTCTCATCTGAACTGATAGAATTAAAAGCACATCCTAGAGTTTCTATGGAGACCACGTAAGCAAATACACTTTCAAGTGTAAAGTTATACACCCCTGTTCTCTGTCCTTTCTGTCTTCCTTGTTGATCTCAGCGATGGCTACCAAATTTTATTTATTTTGCTTGTCATTTGCCTCCTCCTACCAGACAGTAAATTCCATGAGAGCAGGTATTTTTGTCTACTTGTTTGTTTTGTTTGGTTTTTTTGAAACCAAGTTTCTCTGTGTAGCCCTGGCTATCCTGGAACTCACTCTGTAGACCAAGCTGGCCTTGAACACAGGGATCTGCCTGCTGCCTTCTGAGTGCTGGAATTAAAGGCTTGTACTGCTACCGCTGGCTACTTTTTTTTTTTTTTTTTTTTGAGACAGGGTTTCTCTGTGTGGCTTTGGAGCCTTTCCTGGAACTCATTCTGTAGCCCAGGCTGTATCCCAGGCCTCGAATTCGCAAAGATCCTCCTGCCTCGGCCTCCCGAGTGCTAGGATTAAAGGTGTGGCCACCACCGCCCCAGCTGGTTACTTGTTTTTAACTACCACATTATTAGAGCCTAGAATGGTGCCTGGTGCACCATGGATGCTTGGCAAATAGATATTAACTGGGTAGGTGACTTGCTGAGCCATGCCTGGCAGACAGCAAGCTCTCAGGAAACGAGACTTTACCTATCTCATTTTTGTAAAGTGTATTTGTGCTTTGAAAATTAATACATGTGTGTACTGTTTCTTATCTACCCCAACTACCTCCCTCTAACTGTCCCTGAGGCCCACTAATCTCTCTCCCCATCAACTTCATGTGTGTTGTTGTTGTTATTATTATTATTAATCATCATCATCATCATCCCACTGAGTCTAACTAGTAGTGACCGTGTGTAAATGGATGGTGAGGCTGTTTACTGGGGTATGGATTACCTGCCAATGAGCACATCCCCAAAGAAGAGTGAGTCTCCCTTCCCCACAACCATCAAGTACCAGCTAAGGGCGGGGACTCAGGAGCACCTCTGCCATCAACACTGGAATTTTGACTGGCTTGATCTTAGGCAGGTCTCATGTAAATATATCTCTTTAAATACCGACCCGTACTCACCGTCTCAGCAAGGCATGCCGGCTATATGATCAGAATACACTCCAGTTTAATGTGACCCCCTCGTGTTATAGAACGTGGGCTGTTTCTCCCCGCCCGTAATTTTGTGCTTTTTAACCAATTTACTGTTTGATTTCCAAACGGCCAGAAGAGAGTGTTTAGAATGTTCTCCACACAAAGAAATGATGAATATTTAAAGGGATGGATATATTGATTACTTTTTTCTTGTGTTGTATGCATGTCAAAATAACATGCTGTTCCCCTTAGACATATGTATATGTATTTGATTTGCTTCTTGTGGATGTACTCTGAGCAAACCCACTTCTTGCTGGCTGCACTGAACCAGCCCAGTCCAGGCTCCCCTCATCTTTCCCTTTGACCCCTCTGTCCCTGTCTCCCCCAGAGTCAGAGCTCTGTGATCCCTCTCAGGGGCCCCAGCTGACATCAGTCCCCTGATCTGTGTCCCTGGTCACAATCAGTGACTCAGAAGCGTCTCACATGCTCAGTGTTTTCTCTGCATGATATGATTTCTTAGCCCTCCCCCTGACTTGGGTGGATGATTGCTCAGGCCCACAGAGCCTTTGTTATCCTGCTAGAATGTTCTAATTCCACAAGGTTCACTCTGACACATTCTGAATCTGTCAGTTGAAATGCCTCAGAGAGGCCTTTCTCATGCCCGATACACTCCTAGCCCTGACTTTCAGAACTCTGTCCTAAGCATTCAGCAGATTGATCTAGAATCTAGACACTGAAGCGTAAGAGTACTGTATGGTCTCCTGGGCTCTGCCCTCTGCTCAGGGTGCTGAGGGGAGGAGGCTGTGGAACGGTCCTCACACTGTCTCTTCCTTGTCTGGCCAGGTCCTGCAGATCTGCCCCAAGGACATGAGAGCTGACATTTGTGTGCACCTGAATCGCAAAGTGTTCAAGGAACACCCCGCCTTCCGGCTGGCCAGTGATGGCTGCCTGCGGGCCTTGGCCATGGAGTTCCAGACAGTGCATTGCGCCCCGGGAGACCTCATCTATCATGCTGGGGAGAGTGTGGACAGCCTCTGCTTCGTGGTCTCAGGCTCCCTGGAGGTGATCCAGGATGACGAGGTGGTGGCCATCCTAGGTACGTGCTGCCCATTCTCAATGCACTCCTGGTCCTATGCTTGGGGTTGTCTTAGTTGCTGGAAAGCCATTTTAACCAGAGGTTGTTCCTCAGGGCAGGCTCATTTCTAACACCCATTCATCCATCCAGCAAATGTTGGAGTGCCTACTTTGGACCAATTGCTGTTTAAGACTCTTGGGGTTTTCTCCTCAAGGGCTACAGGCTACTGGAAGAAATGAACAAACAAACGATTGTTCAGAATGTAGCAGAAGGGGCAACTCACTCGGGATTCAAACGAGAAAGCTTCCAAGATGAAATGACACCCAAGAAGAAGCCAAAGAGTTGAGAATGAGTTAGCACAGAGCAGGGTAAAGGTAGGATTCCAAAAAGAGGTGGAAGCCTGTGTGACAGAGGCAGGTGTGATTCACGGGGGTAAATTACGAGTCACTTTGTGTGGCAGGAGCACAAACTACAAGGGCCACAGTGGGAGATGAAGCTGGGAGAGAGCTGATGAACCAAAGGCTCCAGAACCACATTAAAGGATGTAGATCTTACTGGGAGGGAGAGCAGGAGGGGGGCCCACAACGGTGAACTGAAAGCAGGGAAGGGGCCCCATCAGGTCTGTAGGTTTGAAAATGACAGCAGGCCGAGGTTGGACTGCAGGGCCAGGGAACGCAGATTGGAGCCGTGTTATCTGGAGACTTAATGGACTAAGGTGTGGCAGATGGAGAGAAGCACATCGAGGTGAGGTAAACAGTAGAATTTAAAGAATCCAATGGCAGGTTTGCTGTTAGGAGAGGGAGAAGTCGGTGGGGGTGATAGGATTTCTCACTGGATAACAGGGAGGCTAGTTCACCATATATAGCTATGAGGAGTGTGGGAGGAAGGGCAGGGGCATGGGGGACATGGTGGCATTTGAGAGGTTGACCATCAGTGGCCTTAGAGAAACTTTCTGAGGCAGCTGCAGAATATCTCTTCAGTGGGCACGTCCTAAGGCACAAGCCATGCCCAGTGTAATCACCATTTATGGACATCTGCTTGGTGCTCAGTGGAGTGCAGATGGATCCCCATTTAACCCTTACAGTAATCCTGCGAAATGGCTTTATTATTCCCAGTTTCTAGGTGAGACAGTTAGAGTTGAGTGAGGTTAAGGAAATGTCTTCATAGTAGTTGAGTCCCATCCCAGCATCCCTTTGGCTTTAGACACACTGCTCCCACCTGACTTGTGAAGCCCCATCCCAGCATCCTTCGGTCGCAACTTCTCTACTCCTGCCCAGTGTTTGGGCTGAAATCCTATTGAGGGCTAATGGAATGCATGGGCCCTGGACGCGGCTGGTTCTGCTGCAATTTGTGGATGTATGTTTTAGGTTCAATGTCTGACTGATTTTAGAAAACTGAGATGGGTGAGATGAAGCTACACTGATGTTAGAATGAGGAGGCTGGCCCTCATTCTAGATGATATTTTTAAAGCCTAATTTCCTCCTGTCTGATTTTGGAGTACCTGAAACATGGCTTCCTTCTCACTCCTGGGTACCTTGCCAACCTTTTCTCTTGGTTATAAGGTGCTCAGGGTAATCCAAGGGTGATTTATATTCCTTTAGCATGTCCTGGCAGATGGCTAGGGGAGCCTTTAGATTCTGGGTTGGGGCTAAAGTCTGTCTTGTCCGCTGGGTACCATGGCACCCATGAGGCCTAACAGCCCAATCCTGCTGTTCCTCGCTTCCTCATCTCAGAGAATTGAGGCTGTGAGCCAGACATAGGAGCAGTGAAGACCCATTCTGAAGGAAGGGGTCCTTGCTTTTAAATTCACCAGTGAGGCCATTGGGTTAGCCAGGATTCACCAGTGAGGGTATCAGATTAGCCAGGATTCACCAGTAGGGCATTGGATGAGCTAGGATTCACCAATGAGGGTATCAGATTAGCCAGGATTCACCAATAGGGCATTGGATGAGCCAGGATTCACCAGTGAGGGCGTTGGATGAGCCAGGATTCTTGCACGACTAAGAGAAACTGCTAAGCAATCTTGAATTTGGATTTGAGGTAACCTTTTGGGGTCAGGTCTCTTGCACCAATTTCCCCACAGATCACTCACCATTTACCCTTCAGGAAATCGACCCTGAGTCCTGGTGTTATCCACCTGTGTGTTCATGCTCAGAGATTTATTATTATTATTAATCAAATGTATTCATTTATTTTACATCCCAACCGCAGTTCCCCCTCCCTCCTCTTCTCCCATTCCCTCCTCCCTCCACCCCCCATCTGCTCCTCCTATGTTTCTGTTCAGAAAGGTATGGGCCTCCCATGGGTGTCAACAAAACATGGCATATCAAGTTGAGGTAGGACTAAGCTCTCCCCACCCCTTGTATTAAGGCTGAGCAAGGCAACCCAGTATGAGGAATAGGTTCCCTGCTTCCACCACTAGGAGTCCCACAGGTAGATCAAGCTCCACAACTGTCACACATTTGTAGAGGGCCTTGGTCTGTCCCACGCAGGCTCCCTAGCTGCCAGTCCAGAGTCTGTGAGCTTCTATGAGCCCAGGTTGGTTGTTTCTGTGGGTTCCCTTGTGACCCCCCTGGCTCATATAATCTTCCCTTCCTCTCCTCAACAGGATTCCCTGATCTTGGTCCAGTGCTTGGCTGTGGATCTCTATATCTGTTTCCATCAGTCACTGGATGAAGGCTATATGATAACAATTGGGGTAGTCACCAATCTGAGCACAGGAGAGGGCCAGTTCAGGCTACCTATCCACTATTGTTAGGAGTCTTAGTTGGGGTAATCCTTGTAGATTTGTGGGAGATTCCCTTGCAACAGATGTCTCCCTGACCCCAACATACATACACACACACACACACACACACACACACACACACACACACACCATCAAGACATCATGGGAACATGAGGAATTGGGTTGCGGGGGAGGGGAAGATAATGATCAGAGATTTTTAATGCCCTGCCACAGACACCTGCACTATAGACTCAGGCATGGAGGGACAGGAGTCTTGAAGAGAGATGAAGAGGGCAAATGACCACCCCTCACCTCCTCCTCCTCCCCGCTGATGCTGGCCTTACAAGGCAGCAGCCTCATAACCTGGTTGATTGACTGGTTTACTGCTTCTCCAAATCTAGCCTTCTGGGCATCCTGCCTGCTCCAGTTAGCAGTGTGGTTGGACCTCAAATATAGCTCAGCAGCTTTGAATTCAAAATGTTGGTTGTTCTCAAGATGTCCAGGCTAGAAAAAGCCTCTTCTATGCTTCCCAAGAGCCAGACTGGGCCCCCAAAGTAGGTCCAGGCTCGCAATCCTAAATAACTTGCCAGGAGACTCTTATTCTATAAAAGAACATGACAAGTTCTTTGAGTGACCTGTCCTTTGGGCCGCCAGGCATACAACATTCCAAGCTGTTTGTTCCCTGGAAACACACTTGGACCTTTTTAAAATTCCTTTCTCCTTAGAGTAATTTGCTCAATGAACTGCAGTCAGTTTCTTCTTACAAAGGGTTCGGGCATCAAATGGGACTGAGAACTAGACTGTCGCTGTCCTCTGATGCCCTCTAGTTTAGCCTTGCCCAGAATTGTTGAACAGGTGCTGTCATGAGTGGGGTACTATAGTAACTAAACCTTATCCCAGCCCTCAAGAGCTGCAGGAGGAGTGACAGGCTCTTGAGGCTGCCACTCTGTGATGGAGAAGATGAAGAGTGCTCCCGCAGGATTGTAGGATGAGTAGCTCCTGAGCAGTGCTGTGTGCCCGGTGTTCCACTGAGCAGGAGACTCGGCCAATGCCAAAGCAGGAGGCTGTAGAGAAAAAGCTGGAACTCTGCTGCCCCTGCCCTCAGTCTCTAGTCTCCAGCCCGCTGATGTGGTTTCTCTCTTCAGTTATACTATCTCATCCCCATTTTCTGTTTAATTTTAGTGCAGAATCCAAGAACAAGAAGAAGGGTCAGTATTCATAACTGAGCAGGCTCAGCATGTGCCCAAAATAGAATCCCCCTCACTAAAACCCTCTAGACTTTTTGTGACAGCAGCCACAATATAAAATGCTAATTACATTGCTGACTGAAGAATGCACAGTGACATGTAAAACCCAGTGTGCACCGGGCTGTGGGAAACGCAGCCTAATGTTTTCTATTAGCGTCTGTTTTCTTTCGGTTAAAAAAAAAATGAGCATGGTAACCTAGTACACCCATTTCTGACATGATCAAAGGTTACAATTTGAAAGTGTGGCCCCATGAGTTACGACAGTCTCTGATTGAAAACATGCTGTCCTATGAAGACAATGATCATACTAGGTAGGACTCTCTTATGATCCCTCCTCTGCCTTAATTTTGCTGTGACATCTCCTTATTTCCTTCTGGAATTCCCTTAGAAGTCATTGACTTCTCAAATTTAGTCTCTTTGCTTTTCACATATGCATTTTGCCTTATCGTGATATTTATTTATTTTTAACTTAATTAAACCATCCCCCACTTCCTCTTCCCACTCCTACTTCTCTCATGCCAACCCTCCCTGTTCTTGGCCTTTAACCATTGTTGTTACATGTGCATATAAACAAATAAACATAGAAGTAGAACCTACTGAATCTATTCAGTGCTTCCTGTGTGCATGCATTTCTTGGCTTACCATTTGGTATTCGATGACCAGTTGAGGGCTCATCCCTGGTAAAGACTAATTCCTCCTCTACCTGTGGTTATTAATTGTTTTAAGCTCTTAATTAATATTTTTTGAGACTGTCATAAAGGAGCCCTGCATCTATATCACTCTCCCCTGCTCCACCCCCTCTATATTCCCCCCACCCACATTCATGTTCTCTTCTTTAATCATTACTGTTACATAGATACATGCATACATATATACAACCTACCAAGTCCATTTATCATTGGTGATCTATACATGTGTCCAGGGCTGATCACTTGGGATTGGACAGCCTGTAAAATGTGCATCTCGTTCATCAGAGTTGTACATTTATTTCTTTATTTTGTGTGTAGTGGGAGGCACATTCCATGGGGTGCCTATAGGTCAGAGTT